GTATGGTTGATCTGTAACAGGTAATTTAAGAGTCTCTATCAACTTTTGGTTTGATTTGCCAAATTTGATTTAAATTTAGTATTGATACGAATTGGTCGGATATAAAAATCTTGAATATGATATTTAATATTTATTTTTTATTGCATCAATTAATTTTTTCTATTAAATTTATTTTTTATTGCATTAATAAAAAACAATTTTTATTGTGGTAATTTGGATTTTTTTGAAAAAATCTTCAATTTGATATCTGAATTAAAAAAAATATTTGAAATGAAAAATAGATTTTATTGCATTAATTTTTGAAAAAAACGAATTTTAGTTATTTTTCTATAATTATTTTGCAATTTTAAATATGACGTGAAATATTAGTTTAAAAATAAAAAATTAATATGACTTGGAATATCTTAGTTGGAAAAAAATTTGGATGATATCAGCATTAACAGGTCAACCAGACCCTTAAATAAACAAAAAGTTTGATAGAGACCCCTAAATGACGATTTTGAAAGTTGGCTCCCCAAAATAGGAATCATGTGAAAGTTGGTTCCGTTTTGGTGTAATTTTCCCTTTTTAAATCATAGATTATGAAACATGCCATTTTTTTTAATTAGCCTGGATATCCAACCTGCTATTAGGGATGGCAACGGGGCCGGGGGCATCGGGGATTGCACTTCCCATCCCCGTCCCTGATCCCCACTCTCCATCCCCATCCCCGTCCCCATCCCCGCTGGGGAATGTGATTACATCCCCATCCCCACGGGGAATCGGGGATCTCCAACGGGGAATCGGGGATTTTTCCCCGGATGTGAAATTGCATTTTTTGCTTGAATAAGGAGCATTATATTTAATGATTTGTAAATGTTTAAAGCTAGAAATTTCAGTAAAACCAAGTTGAATTATCACGACAAGTTATCAACCATAAAGTTTAGCCTACTAATAAAAATCAACTTACTATCTTATCAACAATAATGTTAGCCAAATACATCATAAAAAGTTCCAACAATTCAACTTAACAAAGTTTCTCAATCAAAATAAAAAATATATATATATATATATATATATTTCGGGGCCGGGGCCGGGGACCCGAAGGGTATTCCCATCCCCGCCCCCATCCCCATTTTTAAATTTGGGGATTCCCCATCCCCGTCCCCGTCCCCGGTCAACTCGGGGATTCCCCGGTCAAATCGGGTACGGGTATCGGATTCCCCATCGGGTGCGGGTTTTTTTTGCCATCCCTACCTGCTATGCGAGCCGACCAATCTCATGGCGATCACATGCTTCGCAGATATCCCAGAGTCACCGCATGTGAATCTTCGTGGCCACAAGGGGATTTTTATGTCTCATTGGATTTGAACTTGGACCCCCTGGTATTTTTTTACTTTTGGAGTCAAACTCAAACCAATCAAACACCACCCTTGTGGTTAAAACATGACTTCTTTAAAAACCTAATCATTCTTATTTTCTATTTTTTGGGGCGAGTTTATTACTTTCTTCATACATTTTAATGGGAAAATTGTAATGTATTTGATGCTAATTATTATTTCAAGTTTTGTATTTTCAAAGTTATTAATTAGGGATCATACTTTATTTTTATTTTTATTTTTAATTATAAAAACGTACTTTTAAAATCAACATTCAAGAGTTTATGATCGAACTTCGTAAACAAGTAAAAGATATTGAATAATATATTTGGTTTAATACCGAAAAACATGTTTTTTAAAGTATAGATATCAAAAAAAAAAAGAGAAAATCTAAAAAACTCAACAAATTTTTATATTTGAGTGATTAAGTTATTAGACAATTTTTTGAATAAATAAATCATTAAACTTACGAAAATTAAAGAATCCAAATACTTTTAAGCCTTTGGACATTTTTAAATAACCATGTGACCAATAATTAAGAGAAAGGACAGTCACATTGGTGTCTATTTATAGACCTTGTTTAGGTTTTTATCACTAATGTGTTTTAATTTTTGTTTTCAAATAATGTATTCTTAATTGTTTTTGTGACTCGAAATGAACATTTCGGTGGAAATTATTGCCACTGGGTGGAATCAAAATTCATTTTAGTCAGGAGCTGACTTCAACTACTTATTTAGCTACTTTAGGTCGTTCCTTCCTTCCCCAACAGCTATAAGAGATAGTTTGATCAGATCTCTCTTAATTAAGCAGTCTAACTAATATATTTTAGTCTTTGTCAAATTTGTTTCTTAATTTAAGACCAAATTTTCATCCATGTTTGCTAAGATAGAATTATTTTTAACAATTAAGTTATGTCACAATACAATAACTATAATTCAAAAGATAAATGAAAATAAAAAGTATGTTCTATGTTGTTTTTGGAAAATTATTGTATTGTGATATAATTTGATTGTGTTTCTCATTGTGTTTGGAATTGCTTACAAAAACAACTTATTGACTTATTTTGGTCTGACATCAATAATAAGCACTTTTGAGTATTATTTATACCGGTGTGACATCGGTAATAAGCACTTTTGAGTGTTTGGATAAACAACTTATACCGGTGCTAAATCGATAACTTATAATAAGTTGATAGGAACTTTTGTAGAAAATCATAAGTTATTTCAAATAAGCCAAAAAAGAACAAAGGTTACACAAAAAATGGAAAGTTTATGCAGAAAACAAAATTTACACAAAAAAAAGTTTCTACATAAAATCCTTTTTTTAAGTTAAAATCAATTTTTAACACATAATATGTAATTCATTTAAATGGTTAAAAAATGAAATAGGATTCATTATTATTTTTTGTCATTTTTGGTTTTAGAATTCATGATTGGGGTAGGATAGATTGGTGAATTTGAGGATCAGGGAACACAAGAGAATATCATAGGCCTTTTTCATTACTATGGCATTTTCATGTGAATCTTAGGTTTATTTATTTTAGGAGGTGGCAATAAATTTTCTTTAATATAATCTTAAAATTACACTTTATACCCTTATAGTTGTTTAATTAATTTGTTTTACGTCCTTTATTTTTACATTTTTATTTTACAGCCTTATCATATTAACGTATATAATCGTATATTAACTAAAATACGTTCTAGTTTTAACAAGTTACATCATTATAATGGTCTCGTCAATATCTTTGAAACGAGTTCAATATTGAATATTTTTTGATGTAATTACATTTTTATATCATATATACTATGAAAAAAATATTTTTATTACTTATACTTTATACCCTTGTAGTTAATTATGTAATTTTATGGTATGTCTCTTTGTTTTTTCATTTTTTGTTTGACGTCATTATCACATTAACATACATGATTATATATTAACTAAAATACTTTAAAAATACGTTTTTTATTTAATAAGTTTTATTAATTATAACCATCTCGTCAATACCTTCATAAAATACATTAAAATCTAACTTTTTTGTTTTTCAATTTTAACCCTTTGATATTTTTAACTTTAATTGTTCAAATTTTTTTTAATATTTTAATATTATATCTCTTATGTTTCTAATTGTTAATTTATACAATAATTATATAAATTAATTAACTTTATATTATTATTAATTAATAAGAACATATATTTTTTAATTATCTATYTCYATATAAATGTATTACGATAAATTTCTAATTTTTAATCTTAATCTATACTATATTTACATAAATTAATTAACTTTATATTAATAACAATAAATTACAATATTTTAAAGACTTTGATTATTTATATAAAATTAATTATATTTTTCATGTTAAATCAACATATCCACAAGTTCAAGTACGCCATATATATATATATATATATATATATCCTTCAACTTTCTCAGTAAACTTTTACGACCAAAAGCTAATTGTTTGTTAATATTTTTTCTAAACATTTGAACTTCATCGTCACATTGAATATCATCATCTTATATGGACACACATGGCAAGAAATCAAGTTTTTTTTTTTTCGAAAATACATCTATCGCATCAAGTGGAATGAATACACATTGACATGCATATAATATTTATTCATGTGCACATGACAACCCATGACTTAATATTTCATAAAACACACTAGTATCGAAAGACCGCTCATATTTACTGAAAACCATATCAACTGAGGAACATACCATAAATTAGTAATTAACTAAAAAGGTATAAATGTAAACATTAAAAATATTTTTTCGTAGTATATATGATATAATAATATAATTAAATTAAAAAATATTCAATATTGAGCTAACTTCAAAGGTATTAACGGGACGAATATAATGATATAACTTGTTAAAATTAGAACATATTTTAGTTAATATACGATTATGTATGTTAACATGATAAATGTGTAAAACGAAAAATAAAAAAAGTAAGAGATGTAAAATAAATTACTTTAGGGGTTGTTTGACAATTGTTGAATAGTTTGGTGCAGAATGATTAAGAGGCTTTCATGATATAGTGCAAAATGAAATATAATTGTTTGGTAATTGTATACAATGAAATTAAGGTTTTTAATGGTTAAGGGAGATCCAGGATACAAAATCATTCCAAGGGTTTTAGAACCATTAAAAGACATACTTTTTTTTTGCCAAACAAGATTCACCTCTTAACGATTAAGAGGTTTTGAAACTATTAAGAAGTAAATAAACAACCCCTTAATAAAATAAATATAAGGTTATAAAGTGTAATTTTAAAATTAAAAAATATATTAAACAATTTGATTCCATATTAATACGAGAGGAAGAACATGACGAGGGGTATGGAAATATGGAAAATGACAGGGGGGTTGGTTGCTGTTAAATCTAAATCTCCATTAAAAGCCTACTTCCCTTCTTCACTCGCACTCGCACTCGCACTCGCACTCGCACCCGCACCCTCACTCTCACTCTCACCAGCCACCG